AAAAAAAAACCCAACCCAAACCAAAAAAAACCCCCAACCAACCAACAAATCCAAAAAACCCAAACAAAACCAAGGAAAACCCCACCACAACCAAAAAAAAAAGCCCAACAAAAAACACCAAACCTCACCTCAAAAACCCAACAAACTACATTAAAAAAAAAAGAATACACACAAACACTTGCGGACCCTTTCCCTAAGGCGAGGAGCGCTGCAAATAACGAGCCCACAGAGGCGAGAGCCACGCTGCTCGCAGCACGGAGCTCGGCGCTGTCGGGGCAGCCTCGGACCCGGGGGGACCCAGCCCCACGGTCCCACGCGGGGCAGCCGGCAGCGGCGAGTCCCTCGTGCTGCGGAGCGGGATGGCAGCCCCTTGGCGAGCCTGTCCCAAGGCACTGCAGCGTGCTTCGGACGGTGGCACATTACTATAAACTCTGCTGCCCATTACAGTCTCTTTCGCCCTGTAATTAGGGCCACAGAAAGAACACAGTGTACAACTGTATTGTAGGGGGGTGGAAGGACTTGTGGATATTTTAGGCCCCATACTTACAGACAAAAAATACAGTGGAAACGCACACTACTGAGATAAAGTCCTTAAATATTCCTGAACAATGCTCAGGGACAGGACATCGTCCCTTCACAGACAGCAAGCAAAGGGGATGAAATTCTGAATCAGTATTTTCACAACCACAGGCGTGAAATCAAGTTGAAGTGGTCAAAGCATCTTTGGTGCCTCTTAGCACACCACGGCGGACACAACGCCAGCAGCGTAGTGGCAGTGTTGTAATACAAGCATTTGGCAATTTCCTTGAAAGAAACGCTGATGCATCATTCAACTTCAAAGTGCTCTTTTAAAACAGCCCACACTGGGCATGTTAACTACAGCCACCCTGGCTGTTTGCTCTCCATCCATCTGTAGGCCAACATATTGATGTGCCGCTAACAGATTCGAGGCCGACTGCTGCATTAAAGCATAAGTTTGTTGAAGAACTAACCGTGTATAATGCAGCTATGCACGACAGGCAGGAATACGCACGTGGGACAGCCCAGCCCCCCCGCTCTCCCCTGGGCAGCGTTTGGAAAATCCTGGCCCTCACGTCCCCTTTGACAAAGCTAAGCAACAGTTTTGCTCCCCATTATCGCCTTCCTGCCTTACATAAATCCATCATTAGCCTTTTTGCTTGTGTTATTTCTCACAATCCCTCTTTATCTCTTCTCTAACCTTCGGGCCGTCCTTTGTCTCCTGCCACTTTCCACTTCCTTCCTGCTTCCCTGGTGAGAACTGGTGTGAAACTCCTGGCTGTGGTCTACCAAACGCCCTCGCTCTTGCTCCATCTCTTAGATTCTTTGCCAAAATTAATCCTACCTGCCTTGCTCGCCTCTGGCGAGTGCTCCAACCTGAGGATTAACTTCCACTTGACAGAAAGCTCTACCCCAAAATGATATGGAAATCTGTTTTTAGAAGTATAATACAGCTTGTAGTATTTCTGCAGGCATCTTTCAGTATCTCTTTGCTACATGCATTTATCGCCACCTTTCATTGTCTGTCATTCACCTGTTGAGGGTGAAACCACCACCAGGACAAGGCTACTTTTCAGAGTAGAATCAGATTTACCAGCCCCGAGCTCTTCATCACCAGCCTGATGACTGGTTCTGCAGCAACAGAAACTGGGCTCCAAGCGACCCTTGCAGCCCCGTGCCCTGCTTCTGCCCCAGCCCTCCCCAAAGCACGGTGCAGACGGGGCGCTTGTGCTGTCGCTGCCTTGCAAGCGGGCTGTCCCACCGTGCCCTTCTGCGTAACTCTGAAGAACGCCCAGGAGTCAGGAAATTCAATGCCTTAGTGCAACCTGACTGTTCATAAACTAGAAACCCACATTCATCTTATCAATAATAAAAAGTGAACAGGATCCCTAAAGAATAAATTCAATTTAAAAAAAAAAAAAAAACACAAGACACAACAAACACAAAAGACAATTAAATGCTATCAGTACGGCTTTCCTCTCCAACAGCCGTCATCAAACCCCTGCAGACAAATTCAGCCACCACAGACCTGAACATAAAAACCTTTCAAATGTCTATGTGCATGCAAGGATGTTTTGTATTAAAAGGGAAGTGCAAGCACGAAGGGGGAAGAACTTCCTTTGTTTCAGCAAAGGAAATGCCATTGTACCCCAGAAACATGGGGCCAGTCCTGAGCTCCGCTGTCTGCATCCCACCCCCCGGCTCAGATTTGGGTCTCTAATAGTACCACTAAGAGTAATCGCCCCTGCCAGATGTGACACTCAGCAAAGGAAGGGAGTGTTTAAAGTCGAGGCTGGAATTGACATGCTGGCTTGTTTCCTTTAGCTTTGTTTATGCTGGGGTCTCAGCTACAGGTGTGAAGCTGGCAGAGAAAAAAGCAAAAAGATAAGTCATCAGAGCACAGGATTTCCAGTCTGCAGGAAATAAACAGCTTCTTAAAATGTGGTTTCAGTCTGAATTGGACAAACTGACTCTTTTCAGAACTGTACATTCAGAGAAATTACCATTCAGAAAAACTCAGACACAGAGGATCTTCTCCTTGAAATAATCCCCCAGATGCTGCCCAGGGCAGGGCCATCCCTGCCGCTTCTGCGGCCGCGGGAGCGGCCAGGCTCAGCAGCTCGTGCCACGTCCGTGACTCCAGGGCCAGCTCTCTGCATGTGCTTCCCAGCAGTTTCAGGATCCAAATCCCAGCTCTACAACAGGGAGCTCAGAACCCCCAAAGCTCAAGTTAGGCTCTCTGCTATAGAGGTAGGAGGCAAAACCTCCCCTTCGAGCTTCTTGGCCCCCCTGCTCCCAGCTCCATGGCAGAGAGCCAGAGCCCGATCCCAGCGAGCTGGCCTTCCCCAGGACTCCTCTCTGCAACGGCTCCCCAGCACTTGCTCCAGTCCGATAGGATCCCTGGAAACACCAGCTTTCTTGGCACCAAAACGTTACCCAAGAGATTTATTTTGCTGGAAGTTTTCTTACCTTCTGTATGGAAACTCCATTCTGCCAGTGCCAGAGGTGCCTGATCGGATTGACCCAGTCTCTAGTGCTCAGACATCAGCACCTTTCCCACAGAATAAGGATCCTTTACAAAATTCCCCATGAGTTTTGTTTTTTATAGGAACTAGAGATTTTTAGACATCTCTTTAATGTTTCTTTAGGGCACAACCTTTAGCTGAGAGGCAGCCAAGTGACACAAGAGCCCATGAAATCTGCTTGTAACTACAGACTTCACCCTCCACTTCCAGAATCTCTCCCTGGGTTGCTCGAAAAGGCAGGCCAATTGTTTTGCCTAATGCTTTCAGAAACGATTTTGTCCTCATTTGGTTACACCAGAACCAGAAGATTACCAGCTGTTAAATGCTGATTACAGGAGAGTCAATGAGTGGCAACGGCCAGCATCGTATTAAGCCCAACATTCACCCCATGAGTAGGGTCTGTTGGCTGCCGCTTGAAGTCATTACCATTTACAGCATCATTCTGGAAGTGATTTATTGTTACTAACAGTTTTTATGAAGTCCTGGAGTACAAAAAAAAAATCATCTTGATTTATTAGGCCAGCCACTAACTTTAAAGTTGTCCCCTTCCGTTTCCAATTATAGCATAGTTTAGTACCATGGGTGGCTTTGCTAGACTGTCAGGAACAAGATTACACATTAAAAAGCTGTCTAGGATTGTATACAGCCCGGGTACGTCTTCACGCTAGCTTGGTGGCAGTCACACAATGCCATGAGTCCTATTTGGTGAACACAGAAAAGCAGAGAATACTTTCATCAGGTCCCACCTTGGAAAATACCCGTACAACTTAGCCCAGCCACTGCAAAAATTCTTTGGATGCAGAGGAAAGATGCAAGTTTCAGGCCGTGGACACCCAGCTACTTACATTCCGATTTAGTTAAAAAGATGCTAAAAGAGATGAACCCCCAACCCCTCCCCCAACCCCATCCACTTCATAACTTCAGGATTTCTGTGACCCATCCCTGCAGCGCTTGGAAATCACAGTAAGATGTCTTTGTTTGCCATGGATTGTTGGACGAGGCTCCAAATATTTCTCATGCTTTCTCCTATTTGAACTAAAGAAAATTCCGCTTCATTCCAAACACATCAAGGCTGGGCCAGAAAGTCATATTTAAACCCAAATCTCTCTTCAGATTTGCACTTTGCGGAGGCTGCTGCATTAGGATTGAGAGATAGGGTTACCACCTT